GGGTGGGGGGGGGGAGAAGGGCTGTATATGTTGGGAAGAGATTTTTTTGGTGCGAGTGAGTTGGGGGTATTTGTGGAGAGGTGTTTGTGTGTATACTCTCCTATAGCTGTTTTCAGATAAATATACTTGAAGAGTCGAGTGTAATTCGAAGGTTCTAACTGCTTAACAAAGAAAGGCTTTAACTCGTTAGCGTTGATCCTAACGCATAACCTACTTACTAATTCCTTAACCTATTTCCTACCTACTTACTGATTCCTTAACCTATTTCCTACCTACTTAACGTACGTTTTAATACCTTTACATAGAGAGAGAGATCGCTCAACACTCTCAGATTTCTTTGAAGGAGAAACAAAACAAAACCCACGAGGAATAAAGCATTCATCGATCTGTGTCGAGAGAGGGAATTATGAGCTATATAAACCGGTAATAAAAACTAGGCTCGGACGTGCTTAAATCCTTATGAACGAGCAGCCGCGACCAACAGACGTGACCCCAGGAGAAAACATTGAGCCTGGCATCATTCCAGAGCGATTCTGGCCCCTCGGGGATTCCGAAACCTTCGATTATTGGAAGCCTACGAGGTGCCAAGGGACTCATAAATACCGTTCCTCCGCATCGCTTGGCACTATTCCTACCCACGAAGGTCTAGCTGAAAGAGGAGACAAAAATTCTGGAATTCTGGTTTCTGTCAATAGCAGCAAAGCGGGGGCCGCGGGGCCCTTACGCCTGGAATCCTGGAACAGTTTCCAGTGGTTGGATTATTCCTATTAGCTGAAGTGCCAGTCTCAGAGGATGAAATGGCTGTAATGAGTGCCATAACAGTTAGGGATGTGGGTCTACGGATTACCTGAGAGAGGAGGGACTTGGGTAGAAATTAAATGCAACAGATAACTGTCTATGGCTCTGTATGGCACAAGTCCGTGGGTATATCTGTTTTACTGTCTCCTTATCTTGCTTTCTCTCTGTCTCTCTCTTTGTCATACACAGATGAGTGGTTAATGTAGGTCATTTCAGGTCATATCACGTTGTTTGGCTTAAAGTTGGGCTGACAGCACCCTGTTCCTTCGTTGAGAGAGAGAGAGAGAGAGAGAGAGAGAGAGAGAGAGAGAGAGAGAGAGAGAGAGAGAGAGAGAGAAAGAGAGAGAGAGAGAGATGCAAACCCCCCAGCCCTTGAAGTTGCTACTAAAGCTTGGTAATGTTTCCTGCATTCTGTTTTCCCATTTTGAAGCCTTTTTGAGGTTATTGAAGCAATAAGTGGAGCTTGCTAATGCCTTATGAAACCAAGAATATTCTAGTCAAACGTGTTGCTGAATCCATGTGAAGCATTGTTAAGTCAGGGGAATGGTTTTTTTTAGCTTGCTGAAACTTGAATAAAATTTGAATATATTCCAATAAGCCCACTACAGCCTCATGAACCCTGTTGAATATTCCTGAAGCCAAATGAACTCTTTTTGGGTAAATCACGTTCAATCGGCACTATTGCGAAATTGATCCATGGTACAGTGAAATCTATCACAGTGATCCATGCTACAGTGATATCTCTGCCACAGTGATCCATGGTACAGTGAACTTTGCCACAGTAAAGCCTCTGTCTGTCCCTACAATGATCCATGCTACAGTGAACTCTGCCACAAAGATCCAAGATACAGTTAATGCTACCACAGTGATCCATGCTACAGTGAACGCTACCACAATGATCCAAGCTACAGTTAATGCTACCAAAGTAATCCATACAACAGTGAACGCTACCACAGTAATCTAAGCTACAGTGAACTCTGCCACTGTGAAGCTTCTGACCATTCAAGATGATGAGCCACTAAGATCTGCAAATGGGATGCAGGATTAGTGTGGTGTGTGCATTCCATTAGCTACTGGTTAATGGAGGTAATGACGGTGGATGGATGGATGGGTGAGCGGCTCGGGGCGCCCTCACGATAGGATATATTGACTTCCCACTTTGGTATTGTGCGTTTTTGTGTATGCTGACTTCCCACTTTGGTATTGTGCGTTTCTGTGTATGATGATTTCCCACTTTGGTATTGTGCGTTTCTGTGTAAGATGACTTCCCACTTTGGTATTGTGCGTTTCTGTGTAAGATGATTTCCCACTTTGGTATTGTGCGTTTCTGTGTAAGATGATTTCCCACTTTGGTATTGTGCGTTTCTAGCTGTGTATGCTGACTTCCCACTTTGGTATTGTGCGTTTCTGTGTAAGATGATTTCCCACTTTGGTATTGTGCGTTTCTGTGTAAGATGATTTCCCACTTTGGTATTGTGCGTTTCTAGCTGTGTATGCTGACTTCCCACTTTGGTATTGTGCGTTTCTGTGTAAGATGATTTCCCACTTTGGTATTGTGCGTTTCTGTGTATGCTGACCTCCCACTTTGGTTATAAACAGTGTATGCTAATCATGTGGCCCAACTGCTGAATGGCCATTAACGCGAGTCTTCTCTCGACCATACACGATCCACCAGATGGATCTCACACACAATCCACCAACACGGATCACGCACACAATCCCCAATCCGTGATTGTCTGTATATCTTGAAGTAAATTGGCTTCATCTCCCATTACCCAGGAGGTCGCGAGTCACATCATCCAATTACGCTCGTATTATTTCCAGTGTTTCATTTAAAATTCTTAATTGACTGATAACAATTACCTCAATTTGGGATTGTATATTCTGGGGTCTCAACTCAGTCGAATTTGTTGTGAGATTTATCTTAGTGTAAAAGTTTTGACCAATTTTCTTCTCGGTATATATAAGTATAATTTTCAGTCTGTATTGAAGCAGTTGTGTATAAAGCAATGCTCGAGTATATTATACAATTCTTGAGTGTATTATACAACTCTCTAGTGTATTACACAACACACGTGTGTCAACACAACACAATTCCAGAGTGTTGCGAATATTTTCCATTTTCTGGTTAACATTTTAACCTTGCATAGTTCCCGAGTTTTAACAGTTTAATAACATTTCTTAAATCTCTAAATTATTAATTAAAGTGCCACAAAGGACATTTGTATAAGCTTTTGCACTTACTCTTGTCTATAAAATTGAAAGTCTGTCCAAGGTTGAAAGCCAGGTGATTGGGACTAGCCAACTTTTCACTATAACACATGGGTGGTAGGGGACTGTCATAGGCAAGTCGGAGTATAGGCCCCATTGCCCCTCCTTTAAAAAGGATCAGCTCTTATTGCGATTTCTAAAGACTCCAATGAAGTGTGAAATGAGTTTTTTGTTATCCAGAGAATTTTTCAAAAGTTTTTCAGCTGTGCATAATATCCCCCTCAAAGAGAAAGTAACCATAACTTTTTTTACTGCGTTGTTACATCGCTTTTGTATTTGCATGTTATGAGAGAGAGAGAGAGAGAGAGAGAGAGAGAGAGAGAGAGAGAGAGAGAGAGAGAGAGAGAGAGAGAGAGAGAGAGAGAGAGAGAGAGAGAGAGAGAGAGAGAAGGAGGAGAGAGAGAGAGTTAGAGAGAGAGAGAGAGAGAGAGAGAGAGAGAGAGTGAGAGAGAGAGAGAGAGAAGAGAGAGAGAGAGAGAGAGAGAGAGAGAGAGAGAGAGGTAGAGAGAGAGAGAAGGAGAGAGAGAGAGAGAGAGAAGGAGAGAGAGAGAGAGAGAGAGGTAGAGAGAGAGAGAAGGAGAGAGAGAGAGAGAGAGAGAGAGAGAGAGAGAGAGAGAGAGAGAGAGAGAGAGAGAGGTAGAGAGAGAGAGAAGAAGAGAGAGAGAGAGAGAGAGAGAGAGAGAGAGAGAGAGAGAGAGAGAGAGGGAGAGAGAGAGAGAGTGAGAGAGAGAGAGAGAGAGAGAGAGAAGGAGAGAGAGAGAGAGAGGAGAGAGAGAGGAGAGAGAGAGAGAGAGAGAGAGAGAGAGAGAGAGAGAGAGGAGGAGAGAGAGAGAGAGAGAGAGAGAGAGAGAGAGAGAGAGAGAGAGAGAGAGAGAGAGAGAGAGTGAGAGAGAGAGAGAGGTAGTGACGGTTCCCCCTCTCCTTATCTCGTATCTAATAAAACAAAAATAAAAAAGCATCTCCCGTTCAAACAACATTTTTTATTTTTTTGTACAAATTAAGACTAAATTAACATACTTTTTGGCGAAGCTGACGACCAAAATTACGGTAAAAATTACGAAGCATAAATATGTAATTAAGTTTTTAACTCGTCTCATATTGCCTTCACCGCCAGCTTGAGGAATTTAATTAATTTCAGGCCATTTTACAGTAAAGTATTACTTCCGTAAGTAGAAGGTGGGCGCCGGAGATTATCCTGATTAAAGAGATGACAATGATTGCATTAAAAGTTTCCGAATTGTTAACTTTTTGTCATTGCCATATAGGTTTTGTGAGAGGGGGGAGGGGGTGGGGGGGGGGGGGGGGGAGTGGAGGAGTGAATGAAATGAATTTGATGAGAGAGAGAGAGAGAGAGAGAGAGAGAGAGAGAGAGAGAGAGAGAGAGAGAGAGAGAGAGAGAGGGGGGGGGGGGAAGGGGAGATAGATGGGGATTCAATTTGTGGGTTGAATTATCAACCTATTGCTCCCCCACAGGCTCTTATGGATGCCTTCGTTTCAACATCTATAATATTCATTTTGTGTAGTTTCAGTTTTGCCTGACAAGTATAATTCGATCGCTTATATGTCAGGTCTACTGTAGAGAGCTGGTCTACATTGAGACCAAGTCCAGTGTGGCCATAGAGACCAGGTGTAGTGTGGCCATAGAGACCAGGTCCAGTGTGGCCATAGAGACCAGGTGTAGTGTGACCATAGAGACCAGGTCCAGTGTGGCCAGAGACTAGGTCCAGTGTGGCCAGAGACTAGGTCCAGTGTGGCTATAGAGACCAGGTCCAGTGTGGCCAGAGACCAGGTCCAGTGTGGCCAGAGACCAGGTCCAGTGTGGCTATAGAGACCAGGTCCAGTGTGGCTATAGAGACCAGGTCTAGTGTGGCCAGAGACCAGGTCCAGTGTGGCCATAGAGACCAGGTCCAGTGTGGCCATAGAGACCAGGTCTAGTGTGGCCAGAGACCAGCTCCACTGTGGCCAGAGACCAGGTCCACTGTGGCCATAGAGACCAGGTCTAGTGTGGCCATAGAGACCAGGTCCAGTGTGCCCATAGAAACCAGGTCCAGTGTGGTCATAGAAACCAGGTCCAGTGTGGTCATAGAGACCAAGTCCAGTGTGGCCATAGAGACCAGCTCCACTGTGGCCATAGAGACCAGGTCCAGTGTGGCCATATAGACCAGGTCTAGTGTGGCCATAGAGACCAGGTCTAGTGTGGCCATAGAGACCAGGTCCAGTGTGCCCATAGAAACCAGGTCCAGTGTGGTCATAGAGACCAAGTCCAGTGTGGCCATAGAGACCAGGCCCAGTGTGGCCATAGAGACCAGGTCCAGTGTGGCCAGAGACCAGGTCCAGTGTGGCCATAGAGACCAGGTCCAGTGTGGCCAGAGACCAGGCCCAGTGTGCCCATAGAGACCAGGTCCAGTGTGGCCATAGAGACCAGGTCCAGTGTGGCCATAGAGACCAGGTCCAGTGTGCCCATAGAGACCAGGTCCAGTGTGCCCATAGAGACCAGGTCCAGTGTGCCCATAGAGACCAGGTCCAGTGTGCCCATAGAGACCAGGCCCAGTGTGGCCATAGAGACCAGGTCCAGTGTGGCCATAGAGACCAGGCCCAGTGTGGCCATAGAGACCAGGCCCAGTGTGCCCATAGAGACCAGGCCCAGTGTGCCCATAGAGACCAGGTCCAGTGTGGCCATAGAGACCAGGTCCAGTGTGGCCATAGTGACCAGGCCCAGTGTGGCCATAGAGACCAGGCCCAGTGTGCCCATAGAGACCAGGTCCAGTGTGGCCATAGAGACCAGGTCCAGTGTGGCCAGAGACCAGGTGTATAGAGACCAGACCCGATAAGGTTTCTAGTCCCAACAAAGCGTCTCCTTCAGGCAGAGGGAAGAACATATCCCATTATTCTTCCCCTGCTCGTAGGAGACGCGTAGTGATTTTCAACATGACCTGCAATGTGGCGAATCTTGGACCCCAAATTGCACTAATAACTCAAGAAAGTGGATGTAGTGTTGCAAAAAAATGAGGCTGCATTTATATGTTGCAATCAGTAGTGGTATTGTGTTCTGAGGAGCTGTAGTGGGAAGCGCCAGGTGCGATTTTGCTTCTGTTGATTCTCTCTAGAATTAGAGTTTTACTAGAAACACTAAAGTTATTGTTGTTATTGGCACTAACGGCAGTACTGGCGCCCGGCGCAGCAGTACCAGCAGGAAGAACTAACAGATGCAGCAATTACACCACTACCACCACCACCTCTGCCACCACCACCACCTCTGGCACCACCACCACCTCTGGCACCACCACCACCACCTCTAGCACCACCACCACCACCACCTCTGGTACCACCACCACCACCACCACCTCTAGCACCACCACCACCACCACCAGTACAACAAGCCACCACCACCACCACCAGTACAACAAGCCACCACCACCACCACCAACAAGCCACCACCACCACCACCACCACCAGTACAACAAGCCACCACCACCACCACCACCACCACCAGTACAACAAGCCACCACCGCGGGCTCCGTCCAGAGCCTAACAATACTGAGTGTTGCGAGACAAGAACAGTGACCCTCCACAGGCATGACAATATTACCTCCGTAACAAATAACCTGTTCAGAAACTTGTGAACAAATCATCGCACTTTAACGAGAGTTCAATCCTCCGAGGAACTTGGAATAGCCTCTATAGTTCAGCTCGTCGCCGGCAAAGGATTCTCATCCGTATAATTTTTCATTTTGAAAATAAATGTCAGAAACTTGTATAGCGTCATTAACTGTAAATCGACGATTATTAAGGATAATTCCGTAAGAAAATGCACCTCATTTATCAGAAAACTCCATCGCTACAAGGCAGTTCACCAAGGGGATTGGAACACCCCCCCCCCCCCCTCCGTTTATCGGCCTCAATGCTGCAGGTGGTGAATAAAAAAAAATTACCAATAGATTCACTGATTAATTCCAAACACGAACCTAATTAATGATTTTCATTCGACTTGCACAGAAACAAATTTTCAGAATGTTCGGTGCATTCATCCTCTGGGTTATATCGACGGTGTGAGGCCCATTTTGTAAGGGTAGGGATGAATAACTGATGAATGTATGATGAATTGGCCTGCAGTCGAATGTAGGAAATAGGAGCTGGAAATTCTGTGAATGGTTCTCTAATGACGCGAGATAGAATGTGATTCTCTATTATACTAACGAAGTTGATATTATTAAAGATACACTCGCCTGCCTGTGCTGACAGGGAATGTGCTTCATCTCTTGGGTCCTGCCTCTTGACCTTCTATCGACTGGCATGCGGGTTCTTGAGTACTTTGAGATCTATTATATCCACTATTGAAACTGTGTATACAATCTGCTCAACCAGTTTACCTGTGTACCTAGTTTACTGATATATATGGCTGAGCTCTATTTAAATATCCCTGTTGCTAATTAGCGTATCAGCCACACAGATAATTTTGTCTTTTGGGAGATAATTCACGTAAATCAGGAACATACGAGGCATTGCGGCCATCCCCTGTGGAGCTCTATTGCTAACCTCTCGCTACTCAGATGTCTCTCGCCTCACTGTCACGGTCTTCTATTGCTTAGGTACTCCTTTATCCAATAGAGCACCTTCACTGTCACTCCTGCCTGCTTCTCCACTAGCATCCTGCTGGTTACTGAGTCGACGGCTTTTCTGAAAGTCCAAAAATTATCGAATCTCGCCCACCCTTCTCTGCCTGGTCTGATCTCTGTCATCCTATGATTGAACTTCGGCTAGTTTGTGGCGGTGGGATTTGCTGTCCCTGATCCCTTAAGATGTTGTCTTATTAAACCCCTATCTCTTTATGTTCCATTGTCCTCTGACGGGCAGCCGGGCTGTGGTGGGTATGTGGGCCTGCGGGCCGCTCCAAGCAACAGCCTGGTGGACCAAACTCTCACAAGTCGAGCCTGGCCTCTGGCCGGGCTTGGGGAGTAGAAGAACTCCCAGAACTCCATCAAGCAGGGCACTTAATTCATCCCCTTGCAAGATAGGAAGATTTTGGTTCCAGAGCGACGTTATATACAGTTACAACAAATGCTTCCTTGCCGATCTCGAACCAATTGATGATGTGACGACTTATACTGAATTTTGTAACTAGTTCACCAAAATTGTAACTTGCTTAGCTAAATGAATTGTGGGGTTCAGTCCCTGAGCCCATTATGTGCCTCTGTAACCCTTTCCACTACCCCATACAAGATGGGTATGGGGTGCATAATATATGTAATAAATAAACTACCCTAAAACTGCTTTCTTGTATCTTTTCTAATTACCTCACGATCCTTCAGTGGTTTTACATCATTCATCTCTGTAGAGGAACGTCCTCTTTTAGTGTGAAAATCTTACTGGAAATGCCTGTTGAGTTCTTCACACATTTCCTTATCGTTCTCAGTAAATTAAACCTCTCTCATCTTCAGTTTCTTCGCCTGTCTTGTTATCAGCCTCCTTATAGGGACTTTGAAGTCATTTGAGTTGTCTTTCCTTGATCTGAAATGTTATTTTCTCAAGTGACCGGTTTTCTGTTGCACTCTTAAGTACTCGTTTCTGACCCTCTGGTACCCTATCTCCGCTTTGGTTGTTCTTGTATTCTTGCGGTCTGCCATGCTTTCTTGCGTATTCTTGCGGTCTGCCATGCTTTCTTGCGTATTCTTGCGGTCTGCCATGCTTTCTTGCGTATTCTTGCGGTCTGCCATGCTTTCTTGCGTATTCTTGCGGTCTGCCATGCTTTCTTGCGTATTCTTGCGGTCTGCCATGCTTTCTTGCGTATTCTTGCGGTCTGCCATGCTTTCTTGCGTATTCTTGCGGTCTGCCATGCTTTCTTGCGTATTCTTGCGGTCTGCCATGCTTTCTTGCGTATTCTTGCGGTCTGCCATGCTTTCTTGCGTATTCTTGCGGTCTGCCATGCTTTCTTGCATATTCTTGCGGTCTGCCATGCTTTCTTGCGTATTCTTGCGGTCTGTCATGCTTTCTTGCGTATTCTTGCGGTCTGCCATGCTTTCTTGCGTATTCTTGCGGTCTGTCATGCTTTCTTGCGTATTCTTGCGGTCTGCCATGCTTTCTTGCATATTCTTGCGGTCTGCCATGCTTTCTTGCGTATTCTTGCGGTCTGTCATGCTTCCTTGCGTATTCTTGTGGTCTGCCATGCTTTCTTGCATATTCTTGCGGTCTGCCATGCTTTCTTGCGTATTCTTGCGGTCTGTCATGCTTTCTTGCATATTCTTGCGGTCTGCCATGCTTTCTTGCGTATTCTTGCGGTCTGTCATGCTTTCTTGCGTATTCTTGCGGTCTGCCATGCTTTCTTGCGTATTCTTGCGGTCTGCTATGCTTCCTTCCATATTCTTGCGGTCTGCCATACTTTCTTGCGTATTCTTGCGGTCTGCCATACTTGCATATTCTTGTGGTCTGCCATACTTGCATATTCTTGCGGTCTGCCATACTTGCATATTCTTGTGGTCTGCCATACTCGCGTATTCTTGCGGTCTGCCATACTTTCTTGCGTATTCTTGCGGTCTGCCATACTTTCTTGCGTATTCTTGCGGTCTGCCATACTTTCTTGCGTATTCTTGCGGTCTGCCATACTCGCGTATTCTTGCGGTCTGCCATACTTGCGTATTCTTGTGGTCTGCCATACTCGCGTATTCTTGCGGTCTGCCATACTTTCTTGCGTATTCTTGCGGTCTGCCATACTTTCTTGCGTATTCTTGTGGTCTGCCATACTTGCGTATTCTTGCGGTCTGCCATACTTTCTTGCGTATTCTTGTGGTCTGCCATGCTTTCTTGCGTATTCTTGTGGTTTGCCATACTTTCTTGCGTATTCTTGTGGTCTGCCATGCTTTCTTGCATATTCTTGTGGTCTGCCATGCTTTCTTGCGTATTCTTGTGGTCTGCCATGCTTTCTTGCATATTCTTGTGGTCTGCCATGCTTTCTTGCATATTCTTGCGGTCTGCCATGCTTCCTTGCATATTCTTGCGGTCTGCCATACTCGCATATTCTTGCGGTCTGCCATACTCGCATATTCTTGCGGTCTGCCATACTTTCTTGCATATTCTTGCGGTCTGCCATACTTGCATATTCTTGTGGTCTGCCATACTTTCTTGCATATTTAACGTTAAATCTGAAGCTTTTTCTTTAATTAACTTTCTGTTTCCCAACGATAACAACTCACCCTCGTGCAAGGAAGACAAGACACCTTGTAAACAAATCATAATTAAACTCATTTTAGTTAAGCTGTTAAAAAGCAAATTGAAACTTGTGTTAAATGTTAATGTGAGGATTTTCCGTCAATTTTCCCCACTGCTCCTCGCACGGGGTGGGCGGGGACACACGACACGCAGGAATATCCCTGCCAAAAAAAGAGATATCATCCTGAACGTCCAATAGCCTTCCCGGCCTGGTGCCTTCTTTTGATAATTACTTACTTACTGAACGTCCAACACAGGCAGCAGTCTGAACAGGGAGAGAGAGACAGAGACACAGAGACAGAGACAGAGACAGAGACACAGAGACAGAGACACAGAGATAGAGACACAGAGATAGAGACACAGAGATAGAGACAGAGAGACAGAGACAGACAGAGAAAGAGAGAGAAAGAGAGAGAAAGAGAGAGAGAGGAGAGAGAGAGAGAGAGAGAGAGAGAGAGAGAGAGAGAGAGAGAGAGAGAGAGAGAGAGAGAGAGAGAGACAGCGAGAGAGAGAGAGACAGACAGACAGACAGAGAGAGACAGAGAGAGAGAGAGAGAGAGAGACAGACAGACAGAGAGAGACAGCGAGAGAGAGAGAGACAGACAGACAGACAGAGAGAGACAGAGAGAGAGAGACAGACAGACAGACAGAGAGAGAGAGAGAGAGAGAGAGAGAGAGAGAGAGAGAGAGAGAGAGAGAGGCTTAAACAACCCTCTCATCAAGTAGGAATGTGACAAGTCTTGCCTCTCCTCCCCCCCCCCACTTTGACATAGCAGCATGTCGCCGATCCCTTTGGAAGATATCATGCCATCATTGCCCCTCTGTGTCGTCGCTGCCGTGTTCAGGGAGCTTCCTCCTGCTCTTTACTCTAATCAAAATTTCATGAATGTTCTTCGCGGCGGATGCTCGCATCCTCCTTGTGGATCTTTTTTTTTTTTTGTTCCTTTAAATTGCAAAGGTGAAGTTGGTGGAAAGGTCATGCTTTATCGAGCCACCTAGACATGCCTCACTGTTTACGTGTAAACTCGTATAGAGTTTATTTAGGTTAAAGATTAAGTTAGAGGATGAGGGTTGAGATCTATTACGTCGGATTTAAAATAGTTTTTTTATGGTAATCTATATCTCATGATACCGTTCGTCTGGGGTTGGTGGTGGGGGGGGGGGGTTGGTTGACATCAAATTTCCACCGTTCATGGGTGATATCTTGTCATATACTGGCGCGTGACATCAAGGTAACCTCGCTGGTGGCGACTTCGTGTCAAGTCAAGTAAAACTTCCGCTGTTTGCAGCTTAGGATAACGCAGGAAAAGACAAGAAATGTAAACTCAAGCCGAGGCAGATTACGTGACGTCTCAGAGTTTAAGGTATACCAGTAAACCAGCTTAGGTGTTTCTTTGTATGTAAGCTCTAACCAGACGAGGTGGAGCCAGGTCAGAGGGTCCATCACCTCCGTCCCTCCTTCCAAGTGCCCAACCACTTGGACTGGACGGTACAGCTTCATGCAGGTCGGTGTTCAATCTACCGATCATCCGAGTGGTTGGACACCATTCCTTCCCTCCGTCCCATCCCAAATCCTGACCCCCCGCCCTTCCAAGTGCTATATAGTCTTAATGGCTTGGTGCTTCCCCCCCCCCCCCCCTTGATAATTCCCTCTCCCTCCCCACCTTCCCTCCCTCCTTTCTCCTCCTCATTCTGTGAGCGGTAGTTTATTGTGCACCCCATACTCATTCTGTGAGTGGTAGTTTATTGTGCACCCCATACTCATTCTGTGAGCGGTAGTTTATTGTGCACCCTATACTCATCCTGTGAGTGGTAGTTTATTGTGCACCCCATACTCATTCTGTGAGCGGTAGTTTATTGTGCACCTCATACTCATTCTGTGAGTGGTAGTTTATTGTGCACCCCATACTCATCCTGTGAGCGGTAGTTTATTGTGCACCCTATACTCATCCTGTGAGTGGTAGTTTATTGTGCACCCATACTCATCCTGTGAGCGGTAGTTTATTGTGCACCCTATACTCATTCTGTGAGTGGTAGTTTATTGTGCACCCATACTCATCCTGTGAGCGGTAGTTTATTGTGCACCCCATACTCATCCTGTGAGCGGTAGTTTATTGTGCACCCTATACTCATTATGTGAGTGGTAGTTTATTGTGCACCCATACTCATTCTGTGAGCGGTAGTTTATTGTGCACCCCATACCCATCCTGTGAGTGGTAGTTTATTGTGCACCCTATACTCATTATGTGAGTGGTAGTTTATTGTGCATCCCATACCCATCCTGTGAGTGGTAGTTTATTGTGCACCCCATACCCATCCTGTGAGTGGTAGTTTATTGTGCACCCTATACTCATCCTGTGAGTGGTAGTTTATTGTGCACCCATACTCATCCTGTGAGCGGTAGTTTATTGTGCACTCCATACTCATTATGTGAGTGGTAGTTTATTGTGCATCCCATACCCATCCTGTGAGTGGTAGTTTATTGTGCACCCCATACCCATCCTGTGAGTGGTAGTTTATTGTGCACCCTATACTCATTATGTGAGTGGTAGTTTATTGTGCATCCCATACCCATCCTGTGAGTGGTAGTTTATTGTGCACCCCATACCCATCCTGTGAGTGGTAGTTTATTGTGCACCCCATACCCATCCTGTGAGCGGTAGCGGAAAAAAAAGAGATTACAGAGGGCACAAATGGTCTTATCAGACCTCAGCGGACATCTTTACATTAACAGTTACATCTATCCTTCACATCTTTATAATCTATAATAACAGCATTCTTAAGTTGTCAGTTTTTCGCTGTCTCTTCTTTATATTGAGGTTATCTTGAGATGATTTCGGGGCTTTAGTGTCCCCGCGGCCCGGTCCTCGACCAGGCCTCCACCCCCAGGAAGCAGCCAGTGACAGCTGACTAACTCCCAGGTACCTATTTACTGCTAGGTAACAGGGGCATTCAGGGTGAAAGAAACTTTGCCCATTTGTTTCTGCCTCGTGCGGGAATCGAACCCGCGCCACAGAATTACGAGTCCTGCGCGCTATCCACCAGGCTACGAGGCCCCAATATTTATATTCTCTAGTTTCCCCTCTCCACTTAATACGTTTCCCATTTTCCTCTCTTTTTCTCCCCTTTTGGTCGCTTAAAATTAACCTGTGCCCTGTACCTCATCCCATCTTCTATGCGTCAAACACTCATACCAATTCACTGTCATTTCCTCCCTCACTCCAAATATTCTCTTTCCGTTTTCTGTTTTCTTACCTCTGTTGATTTTACTTTTTTTTTCGTTGTAAGGATTCCTTTTTCCTGACACACATTTAACGAAACCTGTCCATCTTTCCTTAATTATTATAAACTTTGCTTACGTCGATTATAAACAGTTGACGCGCTTCGGAACCTCACAACTCTTGGTTATTGTTATATACAACTCACTAGGGCTTCGGAACTCACAAACTGTTTAATACATGTAAACAAAGATTGAAGAAAGATATATAGGTTTCGTAAGTGGATTCGGACTTCTACGTCCGAAGAAGTCCCTCCCAGCGTGCTTTGGTTGTAACTAACACTGTGATTTAAAGTCTGGGATGCTCACAAACGCAGGTTCGAATCCTCGTCACGGCCCTTGTGGATTTGTTTGTTGATTAAAGTAGATCAATATTCTTGTGGGACCTCCGCAAAGATGGGGATTCTTCCCTTCAGCTTCAGCCGGTGTTGAAGCCTTGTGAAGCTTGAGTGATCTATTGGTCTGTTGTGAGTGTTTAAGTCCATGTTTTATTTCCTGAGGAGTGACATGTATATTGGGTACAGGTGTGTCAGATGTTGGGTACAGGTGTGTCAGTTGTTGGGTACAGATGTGTCAGTTGTTGGGTACAGGTGTGAGTGTCAGATGTTGGGTACAGGTGTGTCAGTTGTTGGGTACAGGTGTGTCAGTTGTTGGGTACAGGTGTGTCAGTTGTTGGGTACAGATGTGTCAGTTGTTGGGTACAGGTGTGAGTGTCAGATGTTGGGTACAGGTGTGAGTGTCAGATGTAGGGCACAGGTGTGAGTGTCAGATGTTGGGTACAGGTGTGAGTGTCAGATGTTGGGTACAGGTGTGAGTGTCAGATGTTGGATACAGGTGTGAGTGTCAGATGTTGGGTACAGGTGTGAGTGTCAGATGTAGGGTACAGGTGTGAGTGTCAGATGTTGGGTACAGGTGTGAGTGTCAGATGTTGGATACAGGTGTGAGTGTCAGATGTTGGATACAGGTGTGAGTGTCAGATGTTGGATACAGGTGTGAGTGTCAGATGTTGGATACAGGTGTGAGTGTCAAATGTTGGATACAGGTGTGAGTGTCAGATGTTGGATACAGGTGTGAGTGTCAGATGTTGGATACAGGTGTGAGTGTCAGATGTTGGATACAGGTGTGAGTGTCAGATGTTGGATACAGGTGTAAGTGTCAGATGTTGGATACAGGTGTGAGTGTCAGATGTTGGATACAGGTGTGAGTGTCAGATGTTGGGTACAGGTGTGAGTGTCAGATGTTGGATACAGGTGTGAGTGTCAGATGTTGGGTACAGGTGTGAGTGTCAGATGTTGGATACAGGTGTGTCAGTCAGATGTTGGATAAAGATGTAAGTCACAAATATTATTCTTTGTCTCCTTGTGCCTCTCTCTACCTCCCTTGATATTCTTCCCTCTCCCTCTCTCTCTCTCTCTCTCTTTCTCTCTCTCTCTCTCTCTCCCTCTCTCTCTCTCCCTCTCTCTCTCCCTCTGAAGGAGCTAACAAGGTCGGAGTTCCCACAATTTATCACGTGAAGGGCGAC